CCACTAGAGAATCCATCCAGGTGCAGCAGGAGGAGCCCAGGGTCAGCACAGGGACCCTCACCTCACCCCACCTCCCTGCAGACCCCCACCCACGCCCACCCCTCTCAAAGGATACGCACCACCTTCATGTTGGTGTTTGCCGGAGCGTTGCACTCAGGGCAGTTGGTGTTGAACTGCAGGACCTGGGGCAGGGCAAGGAAAAGAGGGGTCAGGATGTCCCAGTCAGCCCAGAAGACCTCTCCTGGGTGTCACCTCTGCACTGCAACATCACCCACCTCGTCCCTCAGATCCTCTGCAGCGTCAGGCGGCTTCGCATCCACCTCCTCCCCCTGCAAGAGAAGCAGGTTCCCTAATTTGAGGTCTCCCAGGAAACAAGGGATTCATCAGCCCTGCTCCCCAGGCTGAGAGCACATGGCCCAGCAGCCCCCAGTCACCTCCAGTCCCAGCATAGCAGCCTGCTGGGGGGTCCTCCTGTAGTGGGTGACCACGAGGGCATCGTCCCGCCGCGGCGCGTGGGGGTTCTCCACAAAGCTGTTCCCTGAGGGATCGTCGATGATCTGCGGGAAAAGGGAGCCTGAGGGAGCCATCCTGCACTCCCCGTGCCAAACAGGGGCCTCCCTCCTGTGTGCACTCACAAAGGTGAAGGGGGAATTCATTTCTTTCAGCTGCCTCAGTTTTCCAATGAACTCGTCTATTTTCCTGGCCACCTCTTCGTCTGTCGCCTGCAAGATGACACGGAATCACTTCGGTTGGAGAAGACCTCCAAGATCACTGAGTCCAGCTGCTGCAGGGGCTGCCCAGAGCTGATGGCAAAGGTGATCCTGGCACAAGAGCCCCCAGTGCTCTCCCCCACCATCCCTGCACAACACCAGCGGGCAGGGGATGATCAACCCACGGATTTGCCATCCCTGAGGAGCTCCCCCTTTCCCAGCACCTCACCCTGCGCACGGGCTGGTCCTGCTCCAGGCCTGCCACAGCTCTGTCAATGATCCCCTCGATGGTGGTGAGGACTGGAGAGGGGAAGAAAACAGAGGTGATGGCACCATTCACACACCACAGCACCCCCCCAAACTGCTCTGAGCTGGGGGGCACGTCACCCACCTCCCTTCTGGGAGAAGGCAGGGATCTCAAAGTCCAGCTCTGGAATTCGAGCCATGGCACAGTCAGTCTTCACCACCTCCCTGTTCATGTCCTGTATACACAGTTGGGGAGCAGCATTAGGATCCCCAGCAGATCCAGGGGCTCCCACACTGGGCTGTGCAGCAGCATTGGCTCCAGCCCCCTCTCCACTGGGAACATGCACATTTTGTGCTTGGAACAGTTACTGCCAAACAAATAAAGCTATTTGCCAAACAGCACAGAAGATAAACACTTTGTGGCTGGAGCCAGACCAGCCCGTGAGGGACAAAGGTGTGCACAGGGCAGCCCCCAGTGCCCTTCACCTGGCGCGAGGTGACAGCCAGGGTGTAGCGCACGCCCTGCTCCTGGATCCTGCCCGCTGACTGGATCTCTGTGTTGGACCAGGAGCAGCTGTCGCAGGAGAAGGAGCTGACAATGATCTCTTTGAAGAAGGGGATCCTGGTGAGCAGGAGCCGCGTCACTCCCTGTCGTGGGAACCCGAACCCTCAGGGCAGCGTTCCGCAGGCCCCACATCCCTGTCAGCCCCTCCCGGCGTGGGCAGCTCCCTGATCCCAAACCTCTCCCACCCCAGCAGCCCCTGCCCACCTCCCTTTCCACATCCCACCAGTGCCCCCCGCCCCAGCTGCGGCCCCCAGTGGATCACTCCATTGCTCCTGCAGCCCCTGTACCGCAGTACCCACATCCTGCAGCCCCCTGGTACCGAGACCCAACATCCCTGCCAGCCCCCTGCTGTCCCCCACCCGCAACCCTGTCCTGCTCCCACCCGACTCCCGGCAGACCCCTGTACACCCCCGGACCCTGCACACCCCGAACCCCCGCAGGACCCATGGGGGCTCCCAGCCCTGCTCTCCCCGCTTCCCTCCACTTGCGGAAAGCAGTTTTCATGCAGAGGGACTCGATCTCCGCCGGCTGCTGTTCGCACTAACGTTCGGCGACTGAGGTGGCGGAACAGGACCCCCCCGAGCCGGCGTCCCGACCCCGGGGCCCCGTTTTTCCATCGCCCCCAGCGCCGACATGGGCGATGCCCGCCGCCGTCACGTGGCGGGGCGATACGCTGTCCCAGGGCGCGTCACGATGCCCCGGGCTGTCATGTGACACGTGCTCCCATGCCACGATGTCGGCGCCATTTATTGCGGTTCATGCCCGGACCCAGGGCCCGGACCCCCGCCCATCAACCGCTTCCCCTGCCGCCTGCCCGCCAGGCCTTGAGCGCCAGGTCCCTGCCACAGCGCGTCCAGCTGCGCCCGCAGTCCTCCACGGGCGGCGGCGGTCGCATCCCGCGCTCCTCGGCGGGTCGGACGCGGTGCGTTGAGCTCAGCCGCATTTCCTTCCGTCTCCTGGTCAGCGCCCGCGTGAAGGCCTGGATCTGGACGTAGGTGTCCCGCCGGAACTCCTCCACCCGCCGCTGCACCTCCCGAGCCAGCGCCTCCCGGTATCGGCCGGGGGGGGCCGGGGGCTTCCCGAGGCTCTCGGGGTACAGGCTCAGCTTCGCCTTCAGCTGCTCTAGGTTTTTCTGGATCTGCTGGTGCAGGTCCCGCGCGTTGCGGGTCAGCTTGGCCGACAGCTCCTGGATGTGCTGGTTGAGCTGCTCGGGGGTGGCGCGGGCGTGCGGGGCCACGGAGCGGTGCAGCTCCTGCACGTTGCGGTGGATCTCGGTGACCAGCCTGTCGGCGTACGGGTGGAAGATGTCCTTCACCTGGTCCGTGTGGAAGGCGATCTTGTCGGCGTAGTGGGCCATGAAGCGCTGGAGCTCGCCGGCACCCTCCAGGAGCTGCGCCGTCACCTCCCGGCTCGGCAGCAGCTGCCGCCGGAGCTCCCGCGCCCGCAGGGACACCTCGTCCAGCAGCTCCTCCGTGAACGGCTGCAGCTGGTGCCGCAGGTCGTCCAGGTGCTTCCCGACCTGGTGGTGCACCTCGTCCACGTACGGGGACAGCTTCACCCGCAGGCTCTCCAGCTCCCTCCGGATGACCTTCCGCAGGCTGTCCGAGTCCTGGGACAGCTGGGGCTGGGGGCCCCTGGGGAGGGGTGACAGCTTCCCCAGGAAGTCTCCCATGTAGCCAACTCCATCCTGAATGCTCTCCTTCAGGTTCCTGCAGGAGACAGTCACCAAGCACCCCTGACTGACCACAGCACCCCTCTGTGCCCACACTGCCCCCTAATAAACACCAACACCCACGAGGGCCTTCCCGTGAGCTTCTGTGCCCCTGGGGAGAGAAGCAGGGCCCTAGCTGTGCTGGGGGACCCTGGGCACTGTACTCACGTGATGTCCTTGCCCAGCTTGCCATGGCCATGCTCCAGGCTGTCCTTGTCCCCCGTCAGCTGGCTCAGGTATTCCCAGAAGCTGCCCTGCCCCGCCTGGGCCGGTGACACTGAGGGTGGGAGGGTGGCATGAGTGGGGTGTCCGTGGTGCTGCCCCCCCCCCGCCCCTGTGCCCACACCCACCTGGGAAGGCAGCCAGGAGGGAGAGGAGCAGCACAGCCTTCAGCAGCATGGTCTGCTGGGCCGGGCTCTGCTGGGCTGTGGGAGAGATGGGAGAGGCTGCTCTGCCAAGTGCTCACAGGGTGGTGGCTCTGCTTCACACCCCGTAACACCTGGGGTCTCCCATAACACTTGGGGTCCCCCTATAAACACCTGGGGTCCCCCATAATACCTGGGGTCCCCTGTAACCCTGCCGTTGTGCACCTTTGAACTCACACCCAGCTCCTCCGGCTGCACAAAGCCAAACCAGGCACAAGGTGTCCCCGTCCCTCACCTGGCTCTTGGTGCCTCCCGTGTCCCTCCCGCCGGGAGCCGGCCCGCGGCTCCCCTTATATAGGTCCGGGGGGAGCAGAGGAGCGGGCGATAAGGCCCTGCGGCACGGGAAGGCTTTTTGGACCTCACTCCGTGTAAACACAACGTGGAGGTCCGTGCCCGTTCCTGGGAGGTGACCTGGGGGACGGTCACCTGACCGCCCGCTGCCCCCCGCGCTCGCTGACCCTGCCCCGAAGCCGACCTTCACATCCCAGAGGGAATGCTGGATGGAACCGCCGGGGCGGTGGGCATGGGGCCGCCGGCTGCACCTCCTGTCGCAGAGGCCGAGGGGGTGGAAAGGGAGCCTGGACCCCTGGGATGGGTTCGGGAGGGTGAGCCCGGCGCCGGCTGTGCCAGGGAAGGGTGGCATGAGCGGTGTCAGCAGCCCAGACAGGGAGCACAGAGCACACCTTTCCTGGGGCTGCCCGCTCCCGCCGGATACCCAGCCCGCCGTGCTCGGCTTTTTTCCCCCGGGAATACAAACGGGCACCCTGGGTGGGGGGCGAAGTCCGGCGCTCCCGGGGTGAAACGCCGAGCAGTCGCCGGCGCTGTTCCGGCACCGAAGTCCGCGCGGCTCCCTCGCCTGTGCCAACGCGTGAGGTCGCTCCAGGCAGCGCTGGCCGTTCTCCAGTCTCATCCCAGCCCTTCCCTTCCCGTCCCGCCAGCAGAACGGCTCGAGGGGCTCGCTGTGACCATCGCTCAGTCAGTTCCCTTTTCCTCTTCCTGAAGCACGGCCCGCAGAATCCCGTCCTCCGCGGCACAGTGGGGATGCACAGCTGCATCCCGGGGCTCTACCCTTCTGGAGCCCCCCGGGCTGCTGTGGCACCCCAGTGAGGTGATGTCGGGGCCCTGGTCCCGTGCTGGCCCTTGGGCTCACCTGGCTGCCACCACCTCCAGCCAGCACTGAGCCCCTCGCCCACCTGCCTCCCCCTTTGTGCCCTCTCCCAGGTTCCCCAGAACATTCAGGGTGATGGTCCCCCCTCAGAGCAGCTGGACCAGGTTGCCCAGGTTGCCCGTCCTGGGGCAGGACAGCAGGATACTGTGGGGAAGGAAGGACACAGACCAACATGTGCATCACAAGGTTTATTTCTGCTGCGGGCAGAGGCTGGGAATGCTCGGAGTGTGTGGGGATGGCTGGCCAGCCCGTGTCACCTCCCCGTGGCACCAGGGGGGACTCAATTCTCGGGGGGCGGGATGGTGCTGAGGAAGGCGGACACCTTCTCCCGCACCTCCTTCTCCAGCAGCTGCAGGTGATCCTCCACTCCGGCGGTACCCGACTCCAACTTCCCGCGCATCTCCTCCAGCTGCTGCACCAGCTGCTTTCCGAAGGCCTCTCCGAAGGGAGCTGCCTGCTGCCGGAAGGCCTCCAGGGTCTGCCCCACGCGCTGGTCCAGCTGCTGGGCCAGGGGGGCCAGGCGCTGCCTCAGGCTCTCGGCGTCGCCGCTCGC